CCTTCCAGTGCATTATATATGTGAACTATTTACTGCATTAATAATTAAATGGTCCAGTAAGCCTTAAATCGATATGTGATGTTATGACGCGGCCGAGAGTCTAATTTGAATACTGAAATTCATACTCTGCTACGGAAAGACTGGAAATTGTCGGGGTAATAGAAATCAAGTAACTCAAGAATTTCGTGTTCGAACTTCAGAAAAGAAAGTATCATCAAGGATTACACGAGTATATCACTCATGTAACCACTTGTCATCGTTTCTGCTTCTGACACAGAAACGCCGAAAGAGTTCTGTTTAACTTCTATCGCGACCAAGGCAACCACTGTTTGACTGACTGAGAACCGGTTGCAGGAGCCAATTGACAACAAACGTTTAAGGAGGTTTTGCGAGTATGGTACAAACTTTTGTGTTCAATAATTGCACGTCCTTCAGTTGGTGCCTCAACGCATGTTGAATGATCTGGATCTGGGAAGAGACGGCCGAAAGAACGTCTTTATCGAGTCTGTTGAATTCATCGAAGCAGCCCATCGCTCCACACTTTACAAGGCCGACGAAAATTCTGGCCAACGACTTCACGTCTATCGCCTTAACGAAACAAATCATGAAAGGAAGTACATTTCTTTGCAAACCGAAGTACTTCGTCACAGTTGAATACTAGAACCGGTCGTCCAAGCAAATAAGCCAGAGCCTTCACACTTTCGGTTTTGCCCGTCCCAGCAGGGCCGAATGGATTTCCGCCGAGGCCCATGGATATGGCTGTAACGTTTGCAATAAGCCATCATCATGACGCAGCAGGCTCTGCTATACCTTGCGTCAAAGTAAGGAAACATTTATCCGTCAGCGGCGAATGGACCAACTTTGACACGTTCCCTTGGTACTCGTATGAATACTCAAACTGAGCGTTGGCCATTTTGACGGTGACAGTACCGTTGGACGATATGTAAAATCTGAAAACATGCTCATGACCCACGACTGAGGTTGTAAAACGATACCTGAGTTGTTTCTGCCAGTGCCAAGACTCTACGCTCGTCGTATTTGCCTTAATAAGCTGTTCACTAACATCAATGTTATGGATCAGATCAAGGATCAAGGCCTTCAGCTTTAGTTGCAGAACGGACGATGGAGGCATCATCGAAGTGTACGACTTCAGCTGCTTTTTCAGATCAGCCAGAAGATTTGGCAGGTTTTTCGAACTAATCTCTTTCTCGCATACTTGGCAGAAGTTTATCTGCTCACAGAGACAAAGTATCTAGAATAAATATTTAAGCAATCAAAATGCACAGGTTTGCGTTGGTGGTAACCTGTGATGGGAACTTCCCCGGATCTAGAGCGCTTGGATTGGTGGTTTTCAATTCGATGTACTTTTTTGTCAACTCTTTCAACGTAAACTGTATGGAATTTTCTAAGTCAGCCAACCAGATCTGAAAAGTTAAGCTAACCACGT